TATATATATATATATATATAAGGATTATGTTTTTAGAAAAGAACGTGTTATAAAACTTTTTAATATATTTCTTTCACAATCCTGTGTATATATTAATATATACATACAATTTGAAAGGAGCGATTAGCTAACTGATATTATTATCTTCTTCAAAGCTTCTCGTCTTCAGAAATTTTCGAAAATGTATTTTTTTCGGATTTCTGCATTGTAAACCACCTTTGCGTAATGCATAGAAGATTCCCCAATTTTGTAATCGTTTAGGTGTTGAACAGCGCGGAGCTGTTTCTTTATTTCTATTTACCTGCATTGTACAAAATTGTTACTAATTTTTATTTAATTTTTAAAACAATCAAATCATAGATGGCATTAATTAGTAATTTAATTTTTAATTTTGTTTTTTCTCTATTTAATAAAGTTATTATATAAATAGCTTAAATAATAAATACAAATAAAGTCTAAGAAGATGAGATTACCAGATTAGGATTCCAGCTAATCATGATACATGTACAATCCCAAGGATTGTTATCCAGTCTTATATTTTGTACATGCGTTTGTTTATTTGGCAATCTCAAATTTTTGAAGAAATCTAAAGGTAATGAAGTTAATTTATTTTTTGTAAGTATAATTTCTCGCAATTCCTTTTGTTGTTGTGCAGTGAATAAACCAGGTGGTACAAATTCAAGATCATTATCTGACAAATCAATTTTCCTAACTTTCTCTAAACCATAGAAAGCATCCATAGAAATTTTCTGAATATGGCAATGACTTAGATCTAGATCCAACAAATTAGTAAGATCAACAAATGCGTCGAAATCGATATTTGAAATGTTTCCTCGCATTTTCAGATGCGTTAGCGATGGCAGTCCTTGCAAGATAAAACGTTCTAATATAGGTATGTCTAGATTGTACAAGTGTAATATTTCAGCTCGACGTAGACCTAATAAGGAATTCTTCTGTAGTTTCAGTTTTGATGTCATACCTCCAAGATATAATTTTATCGTCGTATTCATTATCTCAAAGGTACTGAAATAAGTACATGACAATCTTCAGATTTAATCATGGAAACATATTTTGTATAGTATCATCTATTACCTTGGAAAAATAGAATCCAGAGGATTGTCTGTAAAATCAGCACTTACGAGTGCTGGGAAAGGTGGAAATGATAACTCTGAAAGAAATGTTAAATTATTTTGTCTTAAGTTCAGATGTTCCAGCATAAGCAATCCTGCCAGATCTACGCTCTTCAGTGTCAATAATTCATTGCTTGCCAATGAGAGTAATCTCAAGTTTGGTGTGCCATAGAAACAAAATTCAGGAATAAATTTCAAATTATTCTTTTCCAGCGAGAGATAAAGAAGGCTATTGAGGCCATCGAACATGTGCCAAGATACATCTTTCAAAGCGCAATCATATACTCTTAAATGTGTTAACACACCGAGTGCGGCAAAAAGCTCAACATTTTCTCTATAGCCTTCTAATTCTTGCTTATACAAATCATATGGCAATATTTCTTTATCTTCGTTATTCTGTTGGCTCAGAAAAATGAGCCTATGCCCTTTGTACTGACTGGTATTGCTTACAGATGCTTGGTTGTCGTCAATCAATATCGTTTCCGTGTTCTGCGAATTCATCGGCTTGATCACCAGGTTTGCTTTGTTCTTATTTGGTAGATTCAAATTCGACAATTTAACCCGTTCTAGATTGAGATATAGTAAAGTAGATCCTAAAGGATACATCGCATCAGATGCGAGAACAACACCTCCTCTTTTTGTATGATTATTCGTCTCTTTCACCGAGGGATCATTATAATCTATCCCTTGAATGTCCAGCGATATCAATTCGGTGAAACGTTGGAATGTAGTGGCTTGCAAAAGAATATCAATGTCCCCACTACCCGATTCGAGTAATGTCAAAACCTGAAGTGTCAAGATGAATTAATACAAGATGTATATATGAACGCGTATGATGTTAATATGTACTTTTCATATGACCTGTATATTTGAAGGAAGTTTAGTTAAAATTTCTTTCTCAGAATTGTCAGCAATCACACATGTTGCAATTTTCAATAATTCGTGAATCATCGGATCATCGTTTATATTGAAATCAATATCATCGGAAGGTATACTCTGTTGATCGAAGACTCATTAAATTACTGAAGTGAGTACATTGATACTCATTTGATTTGCTTATACCTGATCATTGTCTTTGTTTGTATCAGCCCATTGGTGCAGGGGCAGATCGGAAAATTTTTGAATCTCGCAAGTACATCCCTGTGGACATTTGGTCTCCCACACATCACCGATATCGATAATTTGCCCCGTACACTGATTCTAAATGCAATGTAATTGAATCAATGACATTATTACAATAGGATACATTTTAAAACTTATGTAAATTACTTGGTAATTTTTTTTATCTCTTTTATAATTCGATTTAGTTAAATAGAATAACTGTTGAATAAAATAATGTATATTAACATTATATATTAAACAATCGATACACCACACATACAAAATAATTACACAGAAAGCGAAGTTGAATTATTAACGAAGGACGCGATAAGGTATTAAAATTCATATGTACCAAAGATAAGACGACGAGAAATAAAAAAACAAATGTCATGTTGCTTCGCTTCGTCAAATGACGATTTTGAAATAGAGCACGATACTTGAGACCAACAACAGCATACTGGTCCGAAGGAAACTGGATTTTGTTAACTGTTATCTACATACTTTGATGTGTTTCCTATCAAACAGGATGCCTTCTATCTGCCAACCCACACGCTTTACTCGCTATTATTAATTTTATATAATGTTTATATGCCATCTTCTGCACATAAAGATACTCATGCAATTATTAATTTACTGTGCCTTTATGTCATTTTTCAGATATTCCAGCTAGCGGAATGTATTTCATGACGTATGAATATTTAAAAGAACAATTTACTCCAGAAAGAGGAAAACTTAGTTTATTGGCTACTATAACGGCTGGTGGTTTTGCGGGCATCGCAAACTGGCTAGTGGGGATGCCACCTGATATCTTGAAAAGCCGCCTACAAACTGGTACGTATATACCTCTATTTTTCTCTCTTTTTTTCAAGATTTTAATTGAGATTTTAATTAAAAAAGTTGCTATTGATTAATGAATATAAATTCGCAATGTAAAATTTATTGTCATTACATAGCACCGGAGGGTACGTACAAAAACGGAATACGCGAGGTATTTGTGGAATTGATGAAAAACGAGGGACCAATGGCACTTTATAAGGGTGTTGTACCTGTAATGCTACGAGCTTTTCCTGCAAATGCAGCTTGTTTTATGGGCTTTGAAATTTGCATGAAATTCTTGAATTGGATTGCACCAAATTTATAACTGCAGTTACGCGATATAATTATGGAATTTTTGGAAAACATTTTGATTCATACTCGATAGATGCAAAACGATTAATTTTATTGTGAAAGAAGTAGATTAAGAATGAATTTATTGTTGCTTCACGAGAGTCTCGAGAATGAATCTTAAACTGATGATATATATAAAATGCTAAAATTATTTAAAATGGAATAAGAATATAAAAGAATACAAGAATATACAGAGTATCCCATTTTAAATGACGACCTCAAATATCTCTTGAACAATTCATTTTAGAGAAAAATGTTTCATTTTAGAGAAAAAAGTTTTGTGATTTTGAGAGGAACATAAAAGGATGGTTTGATCTTGGATAGTTGTTTTAAGTTCATATAAAGATTACCTTCAATTTCTTAAATGGAAACTCTCATTTTTCATTATATATTCTTGTAGCTTATCTTGAGAGCTTTCCAAAACGTTATAATAAACGTTTGTTTTTCATTAAGTACTTTCCAAGTCAGAAAGTTTGAATTTTAGATACAATTTGATATAAAGCATAAAATATCTCATATTCATTTTTTGGCAACTATATTTTAATATTTTTATGCACAAGATAACAAGATGAATCAATTGATGTGAAGAAAAGACGTAGTTGTTTTCAAAAAGAATATTTTATTGCATATTGCAAGTCTTTATTTTTTTTTTGCATCTATGTATTTTCTTCACATCAATTGATTTACCTCATTATTCTATGCGTGAAAATATTAAGATATAGTTGCCAAAAAATGAATAGTTACGAGATATTTTATATTTTATGTCAAATTATATGCCAAACTTCATAACTCAGAAAGTATTCAAAGCTCGGTTATCTCGCCACAAAACGTCAGAATTGACGGTGGCGTCTGAGAATGGCGAGATTATAAAACAATGTAACTCTGAGGGTAACAAATCATTTAGGATGACAAATTCAAAACGGAACATCACTTTCAGAACAATGTACATGGTAATATGCATCATATTTCGTATAACTCGATGCCATGTTTGACAAATAGTCAAATGTTAGATGCAAGATTGGATTGGAATATAATTCTTTCTTGATATGGAGGATATCAAATTCTTACAGATTTTGCCGAGTTTAAAAAAGTATATCATTATGTATATGATACCATGTTATACTTCAACTGAGACATTATAAAGACATTCGATGCAATCCTAAAGCATTCGCGAGAAAATAAAATTTGAAGCTTCTCATGTTACTTATATAATGGAATTTTTTGTCTTTTGAAGCGACCAGCGTAGCTGGTCTAGCTGCTGTGCTAGCTATGTGTGTATATAAGACGCTTGTTTAGTATGGTAAAAATATTGCATTCGTAGGTTCGAATTTTCTTTTTAATCGAAGTACAGATTATATATATTGTGCAAAATACTGTGAATAAATAAATAAGCTTTGCCTGTTTTTTTAT